AGCCACCCAGGCGCCCCATGTATTCTACCTATATATTTTTTACTTTAACATGCAGAAGTTTCAGTATTTGAAGACAAGGCAATGTATTGCTCTTTCCTTCTGTTATTTCTTTTCTCCCTTAAGTCCTAATCTGTTATCCACAATACAGAGATATACTACACATTTTGGACATTTGTGAAGTATTTATTTTCTGCTGAGACCATTTTAAAATTGAGCTGTGGCAGGGGAAGAGAGTTATATATGCATGGGTCCTTTAATTTGTATAAAACACAAAACTTATTTCTCTTATTTCTCTATAAATGTATAAGTTAAATTATTTAGTACATTGAACATTTAATAACATGTTCAAAGAGAAAAGGTGTTCCCCAAAACAGTAATCTTACTGTTAAAAAAAATTGTCATTAAAAGATGTGTTGTGATTTAAAAAAAAAATCTTTTCTTCACTTCTGTTTTCTTTCGTTTTTCATAGTCTGATACATACATCTTTGTGACTTTAATGCTGTGTAGGATCTGGTTTGGTGTATTTAGTGCAATGTTTTATATTTAGCTTGATCATTACATTCTGGCCCTAAATAAGGCCTTTAATGCCCTGCCAATGCAGAAATAGGTAATTACTGCTGTTATGAATGGTCTTTTAAAAGACTTGAGTTTGTTGATAATTTGCCACAAGGAAAGGTTCATTGAGCTGAGATATATGCCACCCTGCACAGGAGCCTAGAAGAACTAGAATCGCTGTGGAGTTCAGTGTCTGTCTTCAGTGTTGTGCACGTTAGTGCCGGTGGTGCCTGGCTTGTCTGTAATTTCATGACTCTCGGATCGCACCCCATGTTGTTTGTAGGCTAAACATTTTGTGGTGGTTCTGAAATAGCCTGCGTAGCAGATTCTTTATAATTCTTTACTCAAGCATGAAAAAAAACATTACTTCAGAAAGCATCATAAGTATTTTAAATTACTGCCTACATTCTCTAAGTGCACTACAAGTGTGCTGTATCTAATAAAGCTTCCCCATTGATTTAAGAGAGTCTCGGAAGAAGCTGTATTAACTAGATGTAGAGCATCTTTGATAAAAAAGAATTGGAACTGTCGAATACCTAGTAAGTAAAGAATATGGCTATATTGCAAACACCCTTACTGATTTTACATTTGTCACAGGTGGAAAGAGATAGTATTTTACCATCAACAATTATTACTATTATTCAACTAAGTGAGACTTGATTTTTTTTTAAATATTTATTTATTTTAGAGAAAGAGAAAGCATGAACAGGGGGATGGGGAGAGAGAATCTCAAGCAGACTCCCCACTGAGCATGGAGCCCATCTCGGGGCTCCACCTCAGGACCCTGAGATCATGACCTGAACTGAAATCAAGAGTCGGACACTTAACTGACTGAGCCACCCAGGCGCCCCAAGATTTGATGTTATAAACAAACATTATCAACAAAAATGCTCTTGATATTCCACACTGTTTTTATCTTTTTATGTAGTTTTAGGCATAACACTATGTTAATAATTATCCTGTTTGGTAAAGCAAAGTAAAAACACTTGAAAAATAGAAAATGCATATAAATATGTTACTGAATGAAGAAAGTATTGACTCCCATATTTGCACCTTTGCATAGAAGTCTTTTTAAATTGTGTTAATATATACTGCATACAATTTAATACACATGATGAACCAAGAACTATGATTAATTTTTACAATATATGACATGGTCGGGCTAGAGTTTTATCACTATAAAAAAATTTTTAAAAATCCACAGACTAAATGATCACTTCTTTTTAAAAATATTTTTAAGGGGCGCCTAGGTGGCTCAGTTGGTTAAATGTCTGCCTTCGACTCAGGTCATGATCCCAGGGTCCTGGGATCGAGCCCCACATGGGGCTTCCTGCTCTGCGGAGAGTCTGCTTCTCCCTCTTCCTCTGCCTGCGGCTCCCCCTGCTTGTTCGTTCTCTTTCTCTCTCTCTGTCAAATAAGTAAATAAAATCCTAAAAATTTTTTTTTAATTTAGTAGCTGATTTTCCCAACAGTTGTTGGGCATATAAAATTTTATTAAGTAGATAATTATAAATACTATTAATGTTGCAGATTTTCTTTAGTCATTAAGTATTCTGTAGGTAAAAGGGGTACGCGTATATGAAATAACACAGGAAGTCTTCTTTTCCAAGTACTTGATTTCAGAAAAACCAGTTAAAGTCAAGTCAGCATTGTTGCTTGTAGGTGAATCTTTTAAAGGCAATTTGATGCATGTCTGGGCTGCTAGAGGAGACCTCTCACACTTCTGTCAGCCCTTGAATGACAGCAGCACTGTTTTATTTCCCTTTGTGGAAAGAGGATGGCGTATGTACCTAACAGTATCGTAATAGTTTTGGATCTGATGACAGTTTGAGGTTGTTTGGGAGATAAGAGTTCTTAAAAATTATTGAATATAATAATGTGTGTAGCTTCCAGATCTTATGTAGATGTTTGTAACCTCATATATTACCTTGATTTATAGGTGCATTTGGAAAGCACTGTCAGTTTGAAAAGTATTATGCTTTCTATCATGTAGCATGTGATTCTTCTTTTTTTTTTTTAATTTAATTTTATTTTATTTTAATTCATGAGAGACAGAGGGAGAGAGAGGGGGGGGGAGAGAGAGAGAGAGAGAAGCAGGCTCCCAAGGAGCAGGGAAGCAGAGAGCCCGATGCGGGACTCGATCCCAGGACCCTGGGATCATGACCTGAGCCGAAGGCAGACGCTTAACCATCTGAGCCACCCAGGCACCCGCCTTATATACTTTATAATTAATCTATTAGAGCTGAGTCCTTGCTCAAAGTAGCTGCTAGTTTAGTTGAATTTCTGTGGGTGAAACGATTAAGTTGTCTTTTTTACTTTTATTTTCTTTTTTTTAAATTAAATTAATTTATTTATTCATGAGAGACAGGCAGAGGGAGAAGCAG